GTACATAAATACTCTCAAGAAATAAACAAATGGCTCAAGTATTTGTCAAACAAACACTGTTATTCATTTCATACAACAGTTATGAATATCAGAGCATAAGAGCACCCCTATTTAATGTTTCTCAGCTTAAGTTTTCCTTCATTCAGCTCCAATTGATCTCAAGTCAACAATCTCAGTTTTAAATTACCCCCATTTAAGATTTGTCACAGTTTGTTGTTCAAACCCATTGCTCCCAAACAGTCTTTAAATATGGGTTCACACTGTAAGTAAATTTTATGTAATGAACTTAGAGTCAGATATAGTCTTTGGAACAACCTATGCAACTGGAAAACAGACATGGGATTTGGAATGTCAGATTCATTGAAAACAACAACAAGATAATGTCACGTGCTGGGTGTATAACGTGACAAATAACTTCACGCCATATTGGATATAGCGAATTTATTGCACATTCGCTCTTACAATCACAGTTATACAATCGCACAATTGCTGCCCTCGGCAGTATCACAAATTATCGAATTAAATCTTCCAACCAAGTGTTTGGTTCTTCTTTCCGCGACTGCTGCTATATTCCGACTGTCTTCGGCGACTGCTACACTCTCACTGACTCCTTAGTCAAAGTCTGTCTTTTGTACATGCTGCTGGCCCTTGCCAGCGCAGTCTTTCTCAGGTCCGAGTCCCTTGGGACCTGCGACCATATTTTACTGTCTCAGATTTGAGACTTTCCATTTTGTCGCCTCCTACGACTTGCAGGGTCACGGTGAAGGTGACCCTTAGGCAGTATGGTTCTCTTATAAACCCTCAGCCAGACAACGGGAAAATGCCTCGCTTCCTTGTTGCCTAGTTGCTATGTTTATAGGTGTTGCTGAGCAACGCTGTCGACAATTGTCACAGTGGTGACAATGAGACAATGTAAAATATGGTTTTCTTGGTTGTAACATCGTGTAGTTTGGAAAATGAAGGTTGGGCTCTTCTGAACAACGTGGCAATACAATCCAAAAGAGCATGCTCTTCAAATTTTGTTTTGAGGATAAATATTTTGAAAGAAAATACTGTTAACATACACAATACATGTGTGAAAAATATTGTAGCCATGAATGTTACATCACAAATATTCACTTAAATTACATATAGTCTGTCCATATGGGAGGTTGTTCTTACTTCAACCAATGAAAACTGACTGTGCCAATGTATGTATTCTTTTCTAAGATGTGATAAAGCTGTCTGTACTCACTGTGATTCATCTTATGTGCTCTATACAGCGTCATTGGTACTTAGCCATATCTTACATGTTCCATCTCAGAAAAGAAAGGCAGTTCCGGAGTGAAAGATGAACTTGAGCAGACAGCATGAACTTTCTCTGCTTCATTTCTGTGAACAACACTTCCATTAAGCTGCAGAGACAACACCATAATTCAACCTTTATTTATATGGGGCGTGGAATGTTACTGTTTTCTTGTGCATACAGTGGAACAAGAATGGAGGTAATCAATGTCAACCCCATTAAATGTAAGCCAAATGGAATGAAGTATGTTTAACATAATTTGAGGTTGTTCTTTGTACATAAATACTCTCAAGAAATAAACAAATGGCTCAAGTATTTGTCAAACAAACACTGTTATTCATTTCATACAACAGTTATGAATATCAGAGCATAAGAGCACCCCTATTTAATGTTTCTCAGCTTAAGTTTTCCTTCATTCAGCTCCAATTGATCTCAAGTCAACAATCTCAGTTTTAAATTACCCCCATTTAAGATTTGTCACAGTTTGTTGTTCAAANACATCACCGCTGGTGGGGGAGGGGATATCCTCCATCGCACAGTAGGTCACAGTAATAAGCAAAGTGTAAGTTACATGTCCTACAGAATTTTGGTCATAATACCTCAGCAAGGTTTGAATGAGAGGATAATATTAAGATGAATCACAATGGACTAAGGTAGGTGAATGCAGACAAGATTTATTTGGCTCAGGACATATAGCACATCCTTGTGAACAGAGTAATAAACCTTTGGGTTTCATGAAAGGCAAAGAATATTATGACTGTCTGTTAGCTTCTCAGTGCTACTCAATGGAGTTAAGTACAGTTAAATTTAAGCTGCATGGAAGTGGATGGGGATCCCTAAGGCTCCAGTTCCAAGCACAGCCAGAGTTCCTACACTCTTGTATGATTATCTTCCAAAAATAAACCCCAGCAAAATGGTTTACAGTTCATAAAATATTGCAGAATTAAATAGTAACCCTGGGGTTTAATGTCAAGTTAATGTAAAGAAAAACATATACATCAAGAAATCTAAGAGGATAGTTTCAATTGAATTACCACTGCAGTTGACTGGACTTAATGGCCTGAAAAAATTCAGTCTCTCCCAGTAACAGTACTATTTTGATGCAGTGGCATATTACTTGTAGTTGTCAATGTCAGAATTGTGGTTGTGGGATTGTCTTCGACTGTTGTGCAGTAAATGGAACAATTAACATTTTGTTGTTTTTATTCGATTATGGAGTAATTTTATGCCCAAGAGAAAAATACTATTATGGTCACTGATAGTAAGATAGTGACCAATAGAATACCTCATATGATAAGGTCCTTATGTTGATCAGAGCCAAATCAAGATATTCTAATGTTATTTTGCATCATATTTCAACTGTAAACACATAAATTCTAATATACTGTCATGTGTTATGACTAGACACAGGGTTTGGATTGATAATGGAATTTATTGAACCCTTATAACTCATAACTACAAAGGATTATAATACTCACTAATTCACACAATATACAAATCATATAGCACATATTAAGGCTTCCCAGTCTGCTGTGCTTTCACATGTACATTGCTTGGTAGTGGTTCCCAGTGATGGAGATTCCTCTGCTTTCATACACTTGTTCTTACTAGCTAGTGACTATCTCACAACTAAATGTCAACTAAAATGCATAGCCTCCTGGCCATGTCTGGCTAGCTATCGACTCAGGCCTCCGATTCAAGATTGTCTCACCAACCAGTTGCTAAAGTCAAAGTCATATTATGACCAACAGTCATTCAGCCATTCAGTCTTGTAAATTATTGCTGGCCATTCTTATATTGCCCCCGCATAGGAAATGTAGAAAACAGCTTCCAGCAATTCCTCTATTGTTGCAACACAGGTTTGTTTTTGCAAAATTGTTTACCTTCTCCTATTCCAGCTTTCAGGCATGTCACATTGTTCCCTTTTTAAGGCTGCTTATCGCAAATAGCCTAGAGGCATACCACCATTCATCCTACTCAGTGGGGCCCTACCTGTAACATCTATGGTAATCCTCATGGATAGAACAGCTACAAGCTGGACCTGACACATCTTCCAATTTCAACAGAGTTGAGCCTTTGTTCTTTGTGGATTAGATCTCACTCTGCTATTCTCGAACTTCTCCCTCCTTTTGAGCGGCTCCCAGGTAAGGTGCTAGTCAGTCCAGATGTACTATCATCATCTTGGTTTGGAAGTTGATAACGTCCTCTCTTGGAATATACATATTGATTCAGTTATTAACAAACTAACTACAATTTGCTTTATGATAAGTTCTGTCAGACCTTATATGTCAGGCTCATCGTTGGTGAAGATATATCATTCTCTGTTTCATCCTGTACTATCATATGGCATTGTATTTTGGGGGCAGGCAACCAATACAAAGAAACTCTTTATGATACAAAAAAAAAGCAGTTCGTTTAATGACAGGATATTGTAATAGGCATTCATGTAGAAATCTTTTCAGGCAGCTTGGAATTTTACCATTGAAGTCACAATATATTTATTCAGTTTTGCTCTTTGTATCAAAGAATAGAAAACTTTTCACTACTAATCATGATGCACATAATCTCCAGACAAGGCAGAATAGTACTTTATATCTCCCAACTTCCACCTTAACACTGTACCAAAAAGGTGTTTACTTTACAGGTATAAAGTTATTGAATAATCTGCCTCTTGAAATAAAGGGGCGTGGGGATTTGTCGTTACTCCAATGACAACCCACTTCTTCAGAAAAGTTTGTAGGTCCTGAAAAGGACCGTTGGCTGCTGGGGATTGGCTAGCATGCGTAATGATGCAGATGCGGGCTAGCAGCAAGTGCTGTATAAATGCGAACATTGGAGGCAATTTGATTGGTTAGCGTGCATGATGGTGAAAAGTGAGTTGAATAGTGAGCGTTATAGAAATAGCATGATATGTGGGAAATTCCCACAGGGGATTGTTGGGATACACAAGCAATTTAAGATTTCTTTAAGAAGATACTTGATTACCCATTGTTTTTATGACTTGGAGGAGTACTACAGTGTTAATGAATGATGTTGTAAACTAATGGTTTTATATGAATAGTATGTTAGTTACGCTATATTGAATTATGCGAGTCTATCTGTATAATAGTTCTATTATTAATGTTATATTTTAGCGTCCTGTTGCACTGATTTAAGTCCATGATTTATTTAAACCGTCTTGCAGTGCATACACTCACCTATCTCCTTCTCTCCCTCGCACTACATGTTTCGGCATAATAATGCCATCTTCAGGTGCTTACTTATCCACGCCAAACTAGTTCACTGCATGCCTTGTTCTCATANGGTGAGTGTATGCACTGCAAGATGGTTTAAATAAATCATAGTTCTATTATATTTACAATAATACATATTGTCTTTAATATCATTTATTTTATTGCATTATAATTTTGACACATTCTAATTATTTACTTGAGCTCAACTTATACCTGAACTGTACTTATGATTGTATTGTACTTCTATGTTCTTCTGCTTATCTTGACATATTTTAATTAATATTTGACATGTTCTACATCCTATGGTTTGTAACCAGTTTTATTAGATCATCTGGAACTTGAAATAAATTACAATTACAATTATATTGCAAAAGAAAATTGTTGGGCTCATGATGGGTGTCAAATCACATAATTCCTGTAGAGATCTATTTAAAAGACTACAGATCTTAACTTTGCATTGTGAATATATATATATTCATCAATAAACTTCATTACAAATAACGAAGAACATTTTCAGACCAATGCAAATGGACACAGTGTTAATGCAAGACACAAGCACTATCTCCATAAACAAACTGCTAACCTCTAATGCTTTCAGAAAAGTGCATATTATGCTGGGATCAAAACTTTTAATAATCTGCCATCTGATTTCAAAAGTCTTCTGAATAAAGAAGCACGATTTAAATTAGCACTAACATGAAACCTAAACACACACTCATTCTACTTTGTTGATGATTACTTATTGTCTAAAAAGTGATTCATCCATTTAAAGGCTGTGTAAATGTCATCTATTGACAGTACTGATGTGTATGTGTGGATGTATTTTTCAATAGCCTCATGTGTTACCACTGTTTTCTTGGGTTTTCTGGTGCGAAAACGTCAGTTGTACTGCACATATGTTTTTGTATTTATGTGACATATTCCACATTCTGTGGTCATTTTGAGTAACTGTGGATCCAGGGTATGCAATGTAATATAATGTAATTATCTTCATTGAATCCACCTCATTCTGGGAAGGGGTAGAGTGTTCGTCTTCCACCTCCAGTGTCTTCATTGAATCCACCACATCCTCATCATAACCACAGCTGCAAGAACCTCAAATCCTACACATATCAAACTCTTTTAAAATTCAGGTATAATTGTGAGCATGAAAAATATTGATTGACACATTGTTGTATCGCTCAGAGTAATGAGAAATATAAATGTGTGTTCATCATGCTCAGTTTTGAACTTATATCCTTGATATTCTCATTTTTCAGTTGGAGTTCAATTTCCAAATTCAAGACCGTCTGAGTGAGAGCTTTGATGATTTCTTCTTTCTCAGAGAGCTCTTGATTCTTCTTTTTCAGTAGTGCCAAATAATCCATTTTCTCCATTTTCTTTTTCTCAGTGCAGAACGTCCTTGAAGGAGGTGATGTCTTCTGTCTAGAGTCACTACAGTCATTCAAATGGCCTCTATCTTCATTGCCAACCATGAGGCGGATTTGTGTAAGAAGATTCAGTATGGGTTCTTCTGTACATGACACTATTTCTGCAATCGTGGTGTCTGTGATATGAAACTTGAGCTTTCTAAAAACTTTCCTGTTCAGAGTAGACCAATTGTCAACTTTAGATGCCCGTTTAAAAGCTGGTGAATAGTTGTGCAGGTCAACATATTTTGGGTAATAATACTTAAGAAGTTCTGCCATCAAAACTCCATCAGAAAAATCCCTTGCAAGGTTTCTAGTATGCCTTGATAATGGTATGGAATTAAGCCACTTAATAGAGCTTTCTCTTTCTTCTTTATCCATTTCTGTAATGTCTTGTGTTAGTGATTAGACACAATGTTTGCACCGAATACTGACTTTACTGAATGCTTATTACTCGTTAACTACAGTTATAGCACTTTCGCTGTTCTATGCAATTTCTCGCACTACCAAACGTTGTATTACGTCGGCGCGGACGGCACAGAAAACATCGCTTCCAACAGTTTCTCTATTGTTGCATCACATAATCGTTGTGGTGGATATCTGTTTGCCGCCCGTTGCCTAGCAATATCTCGCACCTTCCATATTCCGGCTTTTAAGCGTCATGTCATATTGCTTCCTCCTTAAGAATTCATTTCATACAAACGGGTTCATTCGTGTAATCATTTACTGCCATTCTCCTACTAATAATCCGAAAGAATCTATTTGGGTAGTACATTGTTAATAAGTACATTCTGAGTAAATGTTCCATAACATGAATCATTCGGTAGGTGTCCGTCTCAAGCTATCTTCAGCCCCGCCCTTTCGCGTGTGTTAAATGTTGAATTCGTCGGTATCGTTGATAGAATAGCCTGAAACAATATCTCCATAGTAGCAAAAAGCTGCAACACCGAACGCATAAAATGGCACCATTAATGCTATTAATCATTTGTAGCGGAATATTATTTGAAAGGGCAAATCAAGAAGGCTGTGACATTCATTACTATGTTCTTACGAACTTATTACTGTAGATATTTGTAATTACGATGGAAAATTTTCATTCGCCCACGAAATCTACCAAGAAATCCTGTGAAAGACAAGGGGGTAAAAATAAATTTTATCCATGTTCACATTGTGCTGTAGAAAAACAAGTGCAGACAAGTGAGTCAACCCCTACACATTCACCATAGGTAGCAGCAGTAGCAGTTTTTTTTTTGTGGTGTAGGAAGCAGTAGGAAGCGGCAGGAAGGTAGGAAGGGTGGAACGGGGTGAAAGGAGTATGAAGCATATAAGTAAGATATGAATATACATTTTGTCCGCAAGTGAATAAATAGTATCAGTAATGGATTTAAAGGGAAAGATTGCACTTGTGACAGGCGGTGCAGCAGGTATTGGTCGAGCTTATTGTGAAGAACTTCTGAAACACGGAGCCAAGGTAAGGGTGCTTAACCACCCCTTATATTACCTTTAGAGCGAATGAGATGTAACGTATGGAGTTTAATTGAATATATTGAAACTTTTTATATTTATTCATAATACCGTTTAGTAATTAAACACTAACATATATCTTACACCTACGTTTATAAATGCTAATTATCATAATGTCAGATTTAGCATAAATCAAGTAAATGGATGTACAGTCGCATGCTGATCATGCGATTTACAGATTAAAAGTCCATACTACTGATGTCTATTTCATTTTTAATATTTTCCACATTAAATTGGAGTAGATTTTGGTATTTGACCACAGCTCTGTATTGCAGGTTTCAGTTTGTGATATTAATACTGAGGTTGGAGAGAAGTTAGTTCAGCAGTTGTCAGCTAAATATGGCAAAGACAAGGTAATCTTTTGCCAGTGTGATGTCACAGATTATCCACAATATGAAGGTATGTCCTCATATAACCAATAAGGCTTTTGAAAGAAGGATTAAAAAAATGTTGAAAGGTTATGTGTGTAATTAATTTTTATGGACTTGTTTTCAGAATCATTCCAAACAACAGTGTCAGTATTTGGTAGTCTTGATATTGTCATCAGTAATGCTGGCATCATGAATGACCGCTTCTGGGAACTTGAAGTAGACATAAACTTGGTAAGTAGAATCATAATATATATACATAAGTTAATTCACATATGCTATTAGGTTTTGTTATCTTTTGCATGTTTTAATGTTGTTTGTATTAGACTTAATTCTTTGAAGTGTTACTTGTAGTGTAATTTACATTCACAAAAATTGCTGATCTGCTCTGGTGACAGGCATGTGCTCTGCATCTCATATGAGGCCATCTGGTAGCAGATTTGACAAACCAAGTGCTTGTACACATTACAATTTCAGTGTTGCCCCATTAAATCATTGAACGTCTTATTATTGTATAATTACGTCCCATACCCCCGATAATAATTAAACAATGTATCATTCCACTTTAATTTATAGGTCAGCATGAGTTTACACTTTGTTGTACTGATGTTCCCTTTGGATGTCAGACACTGATTCAAAACGTCATCCCCTCAATTTCATTTTTAATTTGGAAAACAAAGTGAAATCACAGGGGGCTAAGTTCAGCGAGCAGGGAGGATGGGGAACGATAAGCAAATTGTTGTCAATCACATACTCTGTGGTTTTTAGGGATGTGTGGGTGGGTGAATTGTCGTAATGGAGCAATGTGGCGCATGTTCAGATTTTCTGTTAAGATCTGGCAAACTCCATAACTAGTCCCAGTGGTGTCTGCGAGCTCATGGATTGTTTGGTGATGGTCTTTGTTGATGAGTTATCAAATGTTTTCAAAATTTACTGTTGTTTTGCTGCTGCTTGGTCACCCTGAATGTTTATCATCTGCGACTGTCACTCGACCGGCCTTGAAATGTGAATGCCATTCAAAAACTGCTGTCCAGCTTAAAGAGTGTTCTCACTAAGCATTTCAGGGGTTTTGGTAGCAGATTTACCAAGCTTCATGCAAAACTTGATGCGGACACATTGCTCAGTTTTGCCATTCATCGCAGACAAAACAAAACACGAAGTTAGAAAAGTACTCGTGTAAACACAATACGTGTTCACAGCATGGTGTCATGTGGCAGACCGATGCAATAGGCTTGCGGAAGTGTGACCTTGGCCTTCCCTCACATCTTCTTTCACTGAGGTAGTTACAATAATAAGAGTCGGAGAATTTTCTGATACCACCCCATATTTAGTTATTCTTAGTGTAGGTAATAATAGTGATCAGTAAAGCCTTATTATTCATACATTATAATATTCTGAGTTGAATACATATCAACATTGATTAAGTTGCATATGAATTTAATATTTGTCTATTATAAAAGGGAGGGGGAGCATGTGGTAGCGTAATTGGTTGAGGCACTATGCTACAAGCCCAAAGGTCACGTGTTGAAGTCCTGATGAGGCCACTGGATTCTTTTCAATTCATGTAATCCTTCCAGCTGCACTATGGCCCTGGGGTCGACTCAGCCTCTAACAGAAATGAGTACCAGGAATCTTCTTGGTTGGTAAAGGGTGGCCAGTGCACAAGGCTGACAACCTCACCTCCATCTGCGAGCCGATTGTCTAGAAAATGTGGGAGCCTCAACATCTCGCAACCCTATGGGTCTCCACAGCTTGTTACAGGGATAACTTTACCTAACTCTTTTATTATAAAGGAAGGGACTGTTGTGTAGTCTTAATTATTTTGTTTATCTTAAATAAGGTACCTCCAGAATCACTTTCCTTTATTACATTCATTAAGGTTTCTTATCTTATGAATAATTTGAAGGAGGTAGATGTGAGCATGTCATAACTTGTCCTGCAGAAGCTGCCTGTTAAGTGTACATTTTCATTTATTATGACATGGCATTGAGAAACACACAGGAGGCTAGCACAGTATTAAACCGTATTTCACAAGAATTAGTATTTTAGTACTGTCCTTGTTTTTTTTTTTAGTAAATATAAATATAAATAAATATTGCAGTTTCTAGTGTTTGCAGCATGGATATCAGGATGTTACTAACAGTGTCTTGATTTTTAATTGGGAAAAGCATGTCAGTGACATTTCACTGGATTGCGTGGTCTTACTCGTACATCTCAGAAGATGGTTATATGTGTAAGAACCTGAAATCCAACATTTAATTGAGAACTTTAATTTTGTGGTAGTGGGAGATTTTGTTGGTTCCTTTGGGACATTATGAGTGTCTTAATGTACCACTTACAGAATGGTGTGATTCGTGGCACGCTTCTTGCATTGAGGTTTATGGGAAAGGACAGAGGTGGTCGTGGAGGGACTGTCATAAATACAGGTTCTAATGTGAGCTTGCGTCCATATGTCAGCATTCCAATCTATACTGCCACACAGCATGCAATTGTTGGGTTCTCACGGGCCTATGGAGTAAGTATTTTGTGTGTCCCCTCTCTTATGTTATCTTAATTTTAACATCATGTTGAAATTTGTTAACCTGTTGTAGTTCAGCATAATTAAGTACTGGTTCTCATGTCACTTCCCATGGTGGACTTAAGAAAGTTAAATGGTATAGCTCTGTATGTGTTCGAGTCCAGAATATAAATTTCTTTTTAAATAAAATGAATTTCAGCTTTTGTTGCAGAATTTTTATTATAACTTTGTGAAATCTCATAGAATGTTAGAGGACACTATTTTTAATATCTTCCAGATGATCCTTTTACTCATGCACTAACTGCATTTCCTATCTGCATGAGTGTCTCCATTCCTGCCAGTGTTTTGTTTGCTGCAAGTCCAGAGATACACCATAAACATTTGTGTGGCTTGTTTTGTAGGTAATTTTTTTAGGATGATTATTTAATGACACTGTCAACACTGAGGCTATATAATTGCCTGTGGCTTCATAGTGTGAAAATAAAACAATATTGAAAATATGCCTGAAAATGTCTGCAGTACAAATTCTCCCCAGGTTATGCAATACTTGATCTAACACAAATCCAACTTCATTTAAAAAAAGTTGGAAAATAAATTAAATATAAAATTATTGTGTGCTTTGTTTCTTTTTGATGAAGTTACCACTGTGAATTAAGATATATTAGGTGTACATTAATGTTAAATGTATACAATTTTGGTGAGAAAGCCAGAAGGAAAGAGATCACTAGGTAGACCTAGACATAGGCGGAGTATAATATTAGAATGGATCTTAGAGAAATAGGGTGAGGTGGTATGGACTGTCTCAATCTCGCCCAGGATAGACCACCAATAGAGGACTCTTGTGAACTTATGGGCTCTATAAATTGTTGGGAAATTCTTGAGTAGCTGAACTACTGGCAGCTTTTCAAGAATGACTCAGCTCCATGCAGTTATTAGTTTGTCTGTTAGCAAGTTGTGTTAATATTATATTATTTTAGTGCCTATTGCATACCATCAAAGTATATGACATGTACATACTTATGGTAATATCCACAGTGAGCCTCACATCAGTTACAGTTCAGGGCTTGAGAAAAAAGCACATTATTTTGTTTCATTTATAATCTACTCTGTTCTTAAATAACATGAGTTAGAAATGGAGCCTGCATGGTTCTTGGGTATTGTGACTGTTGAAGATCAAAGGTCGTACATTAAAATTGAAACTTTATGTGGAAAAAACCCAACAGAAATCCACAGCTGAAAACGCCGGAACTGAAATCACAGTCCAGCAAGAGGAGAGATCTATCTTCCCCACGACCAAAAAAAATTTCGACGATCGCAATCAAAGGTCAAACAAATGATGATCTTTGCTTATGACCACCAAGGAATCATCATGACAGACAAAGTTCCATGCGGGAAAAGTGTCACAGAAGTTTATTATCGTGACTTTATGCAAAATCTGCACAGAAAAATGCACAAAAACCAACCTCAGTTGCTCGAGGCTGGGCCGATCATTCTCCATGACAACGCTTGCCCGCACATTGGGAATGTAGTAACAGAAAAGCTGCACCAATACGCTTGGGAGGTGTTGCCTCATGTTCCCTACAGCCTGGACATGAGTAAACCAGACTTTGACTTATTCCCAAAGTTGAAACAACCTATGTGAGGCCGTCGTTTTCCCTCTCTGGAAGAGCTTGCTGCTGCAGTACCAGAGCCTCCGACAGATAAACAAAGTTGGTGTCCTGGATGGAATAGTAAAGCTTCCCACACGTTGGGACTCGGTCATTGAGAAGCAGGGGGACTATATTGAAGGACTGTAAAGAGATATTTAAAAAAATAAACATGGACATAAACAAAAAATTGTGTGCATTATTTCTGAAATGACCTACGTATAATGAATTTATTCATTTGGACCTGTACTTATAAATTTACATTTTGTAATTTATTTATTTAGAAATCATGTACAGTAAACCATTGGTAATCTGATTACAGTTAATCCGGATGTCAGATAATCCAGATTGAAATACGAAAAAATGAAAAATTCTGTTTACAGTTGAGTATATACTTTAAAAGACACATAAGATTTAGGAGCAAGAGGATTTTCCAACTGCATCGAGGGCAGCTGGAGAGGCTGAAACCATGCAAGATAATATTCAAGATTGGCTTGAGCTGGATGAAGGACACCCTGGATTTCAGCTTCTTGACTTTTTATCCTTTTTAAATAAAGGCCCTACAGTGATATATTTCTTTTATTTCCATTAGGACTACCTATATTATTAAATTTTCCATTTATTAGTTTGGTAAGTTTTTTTTTAGGGCTAGCTTTTGCTTCATTAATCCATATTATTGCTTAATTCTGATGACCTCCTTCCAGTTAATCCACATTAGTGAGGGTTTGTTGTATCATAATTGGCACAGCTAATTTAAGAACTGAACTGCATTGAGAATTTTTATGTTTCAAAATGAATAGTATCATCAGTGGTTTAGACTTGCATGATGTCACCATATAACTAGCATACTTCACAGAGCCATAGATATGATAACTAGACAGCATGTCAGAGCCCTTCAGGAAACAAAGAAATATGCAAGAAGAAGGAATATTTGCATTATTCAGTTATGTTTGTGTGAGAATTAATATTATGTATTATTAAATTAGTAGGATCCATGATAGCTCCATTGGTGTAGTGATGGACCACAAGCTGGACAGCCAGAATTTGATTCTTGGCAGTGCTAGAGATTTTTTCTACTACACAGCATCCAAGCTGGTTCTGGGGCCCACTTATAACCCTGTCCACTGTACTTGGATCTCTTTATCCTTCAGTCAGTAAAGCAGCTGGGTGTGAAGCTGACCACTGACCTGCATCTAATGCCGAGATCGAGTGTGGTGGAGCTATATCCCCCACTTCCCCACACATGTTCATGGCAACTTTACCTTACATTTTATTATTAAATATATAATTTTAACCATAACAGGAGCTTGTTTAAAAGACATGGTTTTGGTTGATGTGTCATTATTACAGGACTCATATCATGTGAATATGACAGGAGTGCGTGTGATAGCGCTCTGTCCTGCTGCAACAGAAACAGGCTTCATTCAGGATGTCAAGAAGCAGCTTCTGTCCTCAGAATATGAGAAGGCTTGGCAACGTGACACAGCTAACAGTACTCCACAAAAGTAACTATTGAAATTTGCTGCTAAATATTACTGTTTGTTTTAAATTTGGCTGTTAATTTTATTTTTTGTCTGTGTAATGATGCCATAGTACAAGTGATGGGCTTTCATGTGCAGAAGTAAAGATTTGCATTTTACTGGCACACAGCGTAGATGGTTGCTACAAGCTGGAAGGTCATGGGATCGAATCCCAATGAAGTGGATTTTTTCAATTTACCTAATCCTTCCAGCCACACTATGGCCCTGGGGTCAACTTGGCCTCTAACAAAAATGAATACCAGGAATCTTCCTGGGGGTAAAGGGGGGACAGCGCATAAGGCTGACAACCTTACCGTCATCTGTGAGCCGATTTTCTATAAAAATGTGGGAGCCTCAGCATCTCACAACATTATGGGCCTCCATGGCCTGTTAAAGGGATACCTTTATTTTGCATTTTACTTCAGGTTTAAACTTGAACTCTCTGAAAAGTTTAAAATGTCTTGAAATTTGAACAGTTAAAGATCATCCTTATAAGAGTAAGTATGAAGGTTTGTTAAAATAAATTCTTATAGTATATTAATATGTTAGTATGTATCAAGTATGCATACAGTTGATTATATTTGGGATTCAACAGTTCTTCCTTCTATGCTTTTGGCAATTGTGATGTTACCCTGAACTGTGGATTTTCCATCAAAACCTGTGGTTGTTTGCCTTCTCCAGACTTGAACATGTGGCCAGAGCTCTGATACATGTTCTGCAGAAGGCTTCAAGTGGATCAGTGTGGTTGGTTGAGAACAGCCAGCCTCCTCGGGAAATCAGCTTTCCAAGCCAGTAGAACGTGTTGTTCATCTTTCAGCACATGTGGACTGTTACATGTATGCTATTCAAGTCCACTGTTTTCATCTGCTGCATTGAACTTTTATCATCATGGTAAAATTTTGTGTTGCTCCAGAACTGTATGATTTGCACATTTGATTTACTTTATTTCCCTTAAACTTGGATGTGTAATTACCATCTAAGCATATCTAATTTATTTTCTTATAGTGATTAAATACAGTTAAAAGCCTGACTTTTTTCAGTTATACATGGCCATCTTCAGGGGGTATATCAATATTAAAGGAAACTATATACAGTTTATGTATACAAATAAAAGATTTAATTCCAACATTTTAAAATAAGTTAAAACTAATTTTATAGTAAAGACCATTGATAACTGGTGTGTTGCACAGTGTTGTATATTGCTGCCTCACGCTATCTTTTGTTATGGTGTCAGTACAGCAGTGTTAAGTGTCATTACTGTGTGGTTCTTGTTATGTGGCATTGTTGTGTGGTTCTTGAGAGAGGAAGTACAGAACTCAGTTTAAGACAGTTGAAGAACATACACCACTTCTTAATTTATGTCATTTTAATTCTTATTTTGGGGCACATGGTAGTGTAGTCCTGATGAGATGGATTTTTTTCAATTTATGTAATCCTCCCAGCTGCACTATGACCCTGAGGTCAACTCAGCCTCTAACAGAAATGAGTACCAGGAATC